TGGAAAGGGACAAGATGTGAGGGGTTCAAGTGGAGGTCCCACTAAAGCCACTAGGAGTGTATTAAGGTCCCACAGAGGAACCAGCTCTTGGACTGGAGGATGGAGGCAAAGAAGCCATTTTAAGAATCTTGCTACCACGGCATTGGAGAAGATTGATCTTCTCTGAAGGGGCCAGGGATGAAATGCCGATATCTCTGCCAAATCCACTTCCAATGAAGTCAGCATAAGTCCAACGACTGAAGGTGCAGCAAGTTCACCAAGATATCCTGGATAGAGGCCAGCATTGGTTTTATTCTGCAGGCCCATGACCACATCAAAAACCGTTTTCATTTCATCGCATAGGCTATTCTGGTAGACGGCTTTCTGCTGTTGAATAGGATCTGTTATACAGCCACCAAACTCTGCTATTCCTCCTCATTTAGCCGCAAAGCAACCAGTCCGTGAGATGCAGGGAACTGAGCATGGGATCCAATGCGTGACCACGATTCTAAGAGAGTTGGTCAGGATGGAGAGGAAGGGGTATGGGAGGCTGAACTGACAGCGCGAGAAGGTTGGAAAACCAGCACTGTCTCAGATGGGCTGGGACAGTGAGAATGAGCTTGGCTCAATCCACTTTCAGATTGAGGCTGACCTGTGGGATGATCTGGGGAAAAGCATATAGGACAGCCAACTGCTAGCTGAGAAGGAAAGTGTCAGACAGGGAGCCCAGATTGAGGCTCCCTCGAGAGCAGAACAGGTGACATTTCCTGTTGTCTCTCGTAGCAAATAGGGAGATCGTCAGAATGCCTCAAGTTGCAAAGGTGACCTGGAGGATGTTTGTCTTCAGAGACCACTTGTGACACAGGGAAAAATTCCTGCAGAGATGGTTTGCGAGATGATTTTGGACTCCAGGCGCATAGTCAGCTATCTGAGTAATGCTTTCCTCAACGCAGAACTGCCACAACCTGATTGCCTCTTGGCAAAGCATCCTGAAGTGTGTTCCTCTTTGCTTAGTCACATAATACATTGTGGTGGTATTGTCGGTAAATATGTGTACCACTGAGCATCTGATATGGTCCAGAAAAGTGTGACATGCATCGTAGATGGCTCGAAGCTCCAGCATGTTGATATACAATGCGGACTCCTGCTCTGACCATAGACCTCGAACTTTCAGCAACCCTAGATGTACTCCCAAACCCATCAGGAAGGCATCGGAGACCAAAGACCTGGTTGGCAAAGGCTGGATGAAGGGAACGCCCTGGCAAACGTTCTCTGGAGACGTCCACCACTGCAAGGAATCCAGGACCAGGTGAAGACAACAGACCAATCTGCCCAGTGGGTGAAGAGTAGCAAGCCATTCATTTTGAAACAACACGGGAGGATAGCTGACAAGAGTGATCATTTGGAACCTCATGTATCTGATATATTGGTTGAGGCTGCAAAGGTCGAGATTGAATCTTACCCTGTAAGTGTATTGAAGCCATTGTGCTCCAGAAGACCTTAGCAGGCCCAAGTAGCCCATTGTTAATGGGGAAGGCAACTCTCCGAGGGGCAGATGACTGTGGGATATCCACTAACTTGTGGGTGTTCTCCTGCAGGAACTCCACATGGATATCTAGGGAAGCGGCTACATGCCACAAAAGGTCCTGGTACACCTTGAAATCCTCTAGTACCGAAGGGGAGAAAAGGACAGGCACTGTGGAACTGTCCAGGGACAAAGATGGAGTGGTTAACTGTGCCAGAGCTGGATCCTGCTCCAGAACTGACGGGCCTGGGTGGAATGACTCTGGAGGCTCCACAAGGGGAAGGCTCACTGGTACCTGGGCCTGTGGAGAATGGACAGTCCCCATCACAGACCTTGTCGGCGAGATGAGGGGTGGGACCTATGTGACCGACCATGGAAACCCACGGGTATGGATAGGGCACTGGTGACAGGAGGCACTGGGCCAGAGGCGCCCGTCCGAACTGCAAAACAAATGCCAATCTTGGTACCCAGAGAGCTCCATGAATGGCCACCGATGTGGGACGGATGGTGGGACAGTCAGAGGATGAAAATCCTGACTCAGATTCCAAAAAGTCCCAGACTTCAGGGGATAAAGGAGGAACCAGCCCTGAGGGTCTGAGCAACCGGTCCAACTCACCCATAGCCTAGAATGACGAGGAAGCTGGCGCCGACGGTTGAAACAGTACAGGTTGTTTCTGGGGATGGAAGCGGTGTCGACCCTGAAGTCGGCTGCAATTCCAAAGTAACTGACGGTGCTGAAATGGAGGGCAGTGAGTGCCAGTCACAATTCACAGGGCTGGAGAGGTCCATTGCACAGAGTCTGGTACTAATCCCAATTCTTCTGACCATAAAAGGGAAACCTCAGGGTATAGTGCCAACAGACTCCCAGGTTCAGTGGGCCGCTCAGCCTACAGGGCTATAAAAGATGCAGCATTAGCTAAGTCCTGGACCAAGGGTGAGCTCAGGACAGAAAGGCAGAAGAGGTCCTGATACGCTCCTAGCATGGGAAGAGTCTGTGCTGGCATCGCCCTCATTGGTGTCGGACTCAATGGATGCCCCAGGGCCCCAGAGTCAATGGTATGGGTCTCTGACCTCCTTGCATGGTACTGGGAAGTGGTTGATGGCCTTGCTTCATCCCACACACCAGCATTCACCCTGTGCCAATACACACTCCTTCTGGAAGAGGGAGATGAGTCCCACTGGGACCTGGAGCAGGCTCGGTCAGTCTTATGCTATCTTTTCCTCGGCACACTTGACGGGAAAACAACTCCTCCATCTCTTCAGAGAGGCGCCAGTTTCAGGATGTGATGTGGCAGCACTCTCAGAACCAGAGGGTAACTTCTGATCTGACGAGGGCCTCGGTGCCAAAGCAGGCCTCCTGGCCTGCTTGAGCAGGCGTTGCTTCAGACGAAGATCCCTTGCCACGTTAGTGCGTTTGGTGAACTATCTGCAAATAGAACACCGTTCCCTGATGTGACTTTGCCTAGGCACAGCAAGCACTGCATGTGGGGATCGCTCCCCCACACAGTGGACAATGTTTAAATCCCGGTGAGGGCATCACCAGGGAAATACTTACACTACCGCTAACTAACACTAAGTACTAAGGGTACTAATTAACTATACACTACTAGAAATGTCAGTAAAAATAAAAGGTTTGTGATAGGAAAACTACACAGAACTCTGCCTCCAGCAACAGGTGGTAAGACGGAACCAAGTGGGGAATAGGGCAGTGCTGACTCGTATAGCAAGGGGAGAAGCTATGGCCACAAGGGGTGAGCACTGCCGCCTACAGGTTCTACTTGGGAAAATACTCTGGCTCCAGAGTGCAGGACTGCACACATCCAAGTGGAATACATGGCTGCATCTACTTGCAGAAGAACCTTAATTACTCTTTCTTCCTTTAAAATTATATTTTTAAATTTTAAATGCTAGAAATAATTATCCCCATTAATGTGTCTTTTAAAAAAATAAATTATCCCAGTGATTTGGTGGATAGTGCAGCATGTAGCTAATTGGAGGCAAAAAAGTAGCTCTAAAAATCCTTGAACCAAGGAGGGATAAAAGTGCCACAGAAGAGTTACCCTCAGCCATGGAGCAGCAGGGGAGATGTGAAACAAAACTGCATTTCATTCCCACAGTAAGGCAGCTTTCCCTGACAGGCCTGCGCTGTGAGACACTTGCTACTGTTTAGTAAGAGGAGGGACAAAGATATGCTGAGGCATCAAGAGGCAGCACAGCACAAAGGGCTAGGGAGAAGCCTAAAAGTCAACCTACATGACTCTCATTCTGAGCCTTTGGGTCAAACTCTGCTCTCAATCACACCATCATCATTCTGGTTTAACTACCAGAACCAAGGGAGTTTTCTTTAGACTGACACCGTTTTAACTGAGAGGAGAATCTGGTCATGAGTGTAGAGATCAGGACTCCTTTGCATACGTTCTGAAGCCCCGTACGCCCAACATTTAATTTTTTTTTTTTTTGTAAATTAACAATTTTGAGAAACTAAATCAATTTTAAAACACACAATTATAATTTCCTTTTACCTAACAAGATTCAGATCTTATTTGTTGTAAAAGTGAAGCTGATAAATAACTTAGGTCTACAATAGGATACTGCAAAAGAACTACCACCTGTACACTGTTACTTTGTCTTAAGACTCATTGGTCTGGATTAATTGGTTGGTTTCTAGGATAAACAGTGAGACTCAAGACCCAGTCTACCAGGGCCACGGCTTCCTCTGGGATCAGAGAGGAGAAGCCTCAGTGAAGGATTATTAAACTGGAGATGACACTGTAAATCTTCAGGGTGGGCATATATCAGCAACTGTCTCTTCCCATATGTTTCTAAAACTTCTAACACCATATAGAATCCTTACACTCTTTTCCTAGACGTTACAGGCTAGAAACCTCTGTTGATGCACTGTTTGGACAACTTCAGGGACCAAACATCCTTAATACCTTCAGGGCTGTGGTACCTTCCTGAACCTCTCTCCACTCTTCTTCTAGGTAGAAGAGACTGCTCTTCAAATCCTACCAGTTTGGACTGGTGACAGACACGGCTTCAGAAAGAGGATTTAAAAAATACCAGAGAAAAGTATAAGTGGTATCTCTATGTCCCCTAATCACCTATCTGTAATGTCTCAGCCAAAGACACTGTCACTACACTGTATCCGTTCTTCCAGTTTATCTTGCTGATGATATTTTTGAGCTACCCACCCCAATTCTAAATACAACATAAATTAATCTGAAAAAGTGATACAGGAAAGTTTGGGGTGGAGGGACAATGAACCTTTGGCAAAAAGGCAGTGGTAAGATTTGTTGCTGTTGCCTATGTGAGGGAAAGAAACCAAGCCATCGGTCTGGATAGAGGCTTTCTGGAGGCTGCCTAAAAATTTTGTCTAAAAGAATGTCTGAAACAGTTTAACACAGTCCCACAATTGTTCACCCATACAAAACACAGTAATAACTGAAAACAGAGCATTCTAGAGTGGTCTTTATAATTAATTTTACAGTCCTACCGTGGAGAATTGAACCCGCTGTCTACAGTAATGCTGCTGCTGTCCATGCTGTCCAGTCGAGCTGAATGGGTGGCTCTCTGGCTGCTGCTGTTTTCAGTTTCCTTGGGGGTGAGAAGAGTGAGATTCTTCTCAAACTTTCTTTGCAGATCCCTTTCTTTTTCCCGCTCCAGCAACCACTGCATAGTGCCCACATCATCCCTGTTTTTTTCTTCCTCAGCATTTTTATTTGTTCCTTCCTCTGAGTCATCATCATCAGAAACATTGTAATAATCAAAGGTGGCTTCCTGGTTCCCAGCTGTCTCTTGCTGTCTCTGTGAAACGGGTAAAACTTGTGTAACTGAGGTTACTATAGCTTGTTCAAGTTTCTCACATCTGCCTGGCAGTGTGTCAGAGGGTGTCTTTTGATGGGGTTTTAGTAGGGGCGTACTGGACTTGTGATAATTATTCACAGACAGTGTATTGTGTAGAGGTTTAAAAAGTGTATCTTTGCTAAATATTTCTTTCCTTTTGTCCAGGCTGCTTGATTCAGTGTTATGGTGTTGAACCAGTCGCCCATTTGCGATCACCTCAGAGGTCTGGCCAGCAACAACTGGACCACTACTTGGCCCTTTAGGGGACTCCTCTTTGTGTACCCCAGGTTCTCTGGCTATGTGTTGGGAATGTCTTTCTGAGGGAGAAAGTTTTTTTATTCCTTCTGTTAAAGTCACTGTGTCATGGTCCTCTTTATTTTTCCCCAGTGGTGATGGAGCAGTAAGTACAGTCTCACTCGAAGTGTTGCATTGAAAATAATCATCAATTGCTGATTTTGTTGTGCAGGAGTTGAGCTCACTATAAGATGGTAAATTCTCTGTAGGCTTGATTTGTTCCAATAAGCCACAGGAATTGGGGGTTTCTACATTGCCACTAACTATTTCGGGTACACACACATCTTTATAGTTTGCAGATAAAATCAGAGCCCTTTGATGACTGAGTGACTGTGAAGGCCTTAAGGTACTGTCATCAGTATATGCTTGGCTAGTTGTTGGGTCATCGGGGCTACACCCTTCAGCTACATCTTCAGGTGTACCTAAAGTAGCAGAACCCAGAGGTCCTTTAGAGTTGTCCATCGACCTAGACCTTTCCTTGGCTTTGTTAGACCTCTCGTTCCTTGACCTTCTATCTTGTGTATGGCTGTGGCTTCGATGGACCTTGGAGTGGGAGCTTCCCCTTGAAGGTTCAGGAAAAGGCATCTCAGTTCTTCTTTTGGCCAATTCACCAGATACATCCCATTCTGGTGTCATGGGAAAGTGAGACTCAATCACGCTAGGATTGCTGTGCATGATAAAATTATCTCCTTTGTGTTCTATTATGAAACAGCCTTCCCGTGGGGACCTAGTAAGGGGATCATAGAACTCATACTCTCTTTCACCTGGTATATCCAAATGGGAACCATCTGAAGGGTCTCCTTTGGACACCCGGGTCTTGCTGTGTGACCGAGATTTTCCATGAGGCTTTCTGTGATTCCTGCTCTTTTTGCTTCGCCCACTATGGTGAGCTGAAGATCCAGCTTTGCTTCTTTGAGCTTTTTCTTCTTCAAGTTTCTTCATTAGTGCAGTATGCCTCATTACATTTTCCACAGTCAAGTCTGGGTTAATGCGCCTAATAATCTCCATTTCTACCTCCCTGGGTATAGTGGTAGGGGTGTCTTCATCCCTCAAGGGCCATTCCTCAGGAGGAAACTGGGCAGAGAAATTGGCCAGCTGTTTTGCCTTGTCCTTTTTAAAGCTTAGTCGAAACAATTTTAGTCCAAACTTTTTAGACTGCTTTTCTACATCTTTAGGCTTTGAGAGTGTCTCTGCTTTATAAGAAAAATTTACAGTACTTTTACTTTTTTCACTGGGTGGTACCTGACACAGAGAAGGAGGGCAATATGAGTCTTTACAGTCTTTTGTGGATTTCCTCTGTAGGGTGGACGCATGCATGCTGTGCATGTCTTCTCTGCAACAATGGCAAGAGTCGCAGTGGTTTTTGGGTAAAGTTCGGTCCCTGACGCAGCCTGAGGTGGAGGGAGTTATAGTTCCTTGCTGTGGAGAGGTACACTGAGACCTGTCAGGTATCCTCTCATCCAAATGGTACCATTTACTGTTAGTTCTTATGAGGGATGGGGTTATAAAATAAGTCTGTGGGGTCACGATGAAATAGCCATCTGGAGTTGGATATATTTTCCTCTCTCGTACAAGCATGTTCAAGGTATGCCGAAGAATTTCAGGACTGGGAGTTGGAACGCCTAAAACAACAGTAAATACATATGAGCTACTGTATAATCATGAAAAGTTCTCCGGCTCCCCTCCCACCATCCCATACAGAGTTTTGCCAACACAAAAGTTATAGCATGTTGAGCAAACAATTCAAACTGAGCACATTGATAGGCATTCTCTAGTCTGTATTTCCACTTATCTCCTACACTTCAGTCACATTAATTATTAACTAAATAAAAAGAGGACATTAATAGAGTGTAAAAAATAACACTTTAGTTACTTCCATTGTGTAGGTGACTGTAAACTACAAAATGGAAAGAATACAAAGAAAAGAGAATCAAGGGAAAAGATTTCATTTTTATTATTCTAGTCAAATATTTACATCCCAATTTATCAATATGTATGTATTAATTGTGATTTACAGCAATGTATAAATAGGTGCCCATAAAATTTTTTTCCAGATAAAAATGCAATAGAAACAAAGCACACAGGAGAACCATACCTCCAACACAATTCAACAGGCAGGACTTTCCCACCAAACCATTCCCACATAAACAACTGCCCCCATCAGGCTCTAAGCTCTTCAGCCTCTCCAAGAAAAAGACTATTTGAATTACACAGATCTATTTTACTCAAAACAAATGTGTTGACTATGCTGGATGATATTTGTCTTCTAAAAACTTCCCCACAAGAGTCGCTTGGCCTTTAAGTGGGGTCTGATGGACCACATGCTTGAGTGCAGATATCAAATACAGGCAGATACCTTATTATTGACTACATAAAATCCACATAGGTCATTTTGTGGACTGGGCCTTCAGGCCTGATTCTGTACCTATTGAAGTCAACGTAAAAATTTCCATTGACTTCAGTGGTAAAGGATCAAGTCCTTAATACTTCAAAGTACTACACCAAATAAGGTGCTGACTGATGTGTAGTATAAGCAAATGGCTCGGCTGCTCTCTTCTGTGTCTCCTACTGTATGCAACTCCACACATACACGTTTCAGAGGTCAGAGTTTGCAGTTACACTTTGCTACTTGCATTTGAGTACAGCAGGAGGACAACATGGGACCAGCACAGTGAACAATATGCTGTCCAAGAGCTAGCATGCTGCTGTGGCAATTACAAACTGACTTCAAACACTGGCTCTTGGTGTTACCACATAACTGTGAGGGGAAGGGATAACAAAAATGTCCACATTTTGGAGCTTCATGTGCTAAAATGAAGAAAAGTATTTCTGATTCCTAAATGACCAAATTAATCTATAAGGCTAGAGTTTAGGAGGAGGATCAAAAATAAATACAGACACTCCCCAGGTTATGCAAGACCCGACATAATGCAAATTCGCACTTACGGAAAAAGTTCCGTAAGCTAGAAATAGGAGTTTTTTAGTTGGGCTTTTTTTTTTTTTTTTGCATAACGTTCGGTTATACGTTTCCAACTTATGCAAAATTCAAGTTACGCGAGGCTTTCCGGAACGGAACAATTGCGTAAATCAGGGAGCATCTGTAAATGAAATAAATGGCATTGAACTGGCCCCTATTATTCACCACTGCTTTCTTTCAAGACAAAATGGATGCAGCAAACTCTAAAACACACCCCCATACATGAAATACAATAGTTGAAACAGATGTTTATACAACCACCAAAGAAGAAGAGAAAAAATGTTCATGCTCAATATTGAAGGAAACCTGTGTGATGCGGGAATCAGTCTGCTTTTGCTTAATGAATTGGAGACTGCTCAAGAATAGTTCACTGGTGCAAGTTAATCAGCTCATTTAGTGCTAACAGGATGAGACCAGATCCTGCAGTAAAAGTTCTGGTTTCACCAGCTTACTCTTCAGGGAGAGTTATAAAAGGGAGTCTTTTTCCACTGCTGAACAGATTACAGGACAACAAGCACCAAGGTTTAGGACAGTCCTGAAGTTCTTGTTGCATGTACACCTTAGGGAGGGGACGGTTTTCCATCCATTTGTTCCCAGGACCCCAAATAATCTCATCCCTGGTCTCATACATGGGGAGAACAGAACCCTCCTCATCTCTAACCTTGAAAATCTTTATTTTATTTTGTTTTTTTAAAGGGTGTTGAAACATTGGCTTCTGCTAATTCACTGCAGAAAAGACTAATTGGATTAAGTTCCTAACTAGAATTTATCTGGGAAATATGAGGTGGGGGAAGGGGAAAGGCCCAGTTGAAGTCCATTCCCCTTCTTCTTTGATGAATTCAGTGGGACCTTCACCCATCTCCTGATATGCCCATAACCTCACAGAAGAGCAACCTGCTTAATGCTGGAGCCATACTGGGGAGATCTCTTGAGTATGACTGTAGAGGAAATCTGCCTGTATCTGCCTTGCTGTGGCTCATGTGGGGGTGGATTCTTCTCTATTTCCTCTGCCGGCATCTTCTAAAAAGCCTTTTTAGTAGGCTGTCTAAGAAAGTGTTAATGCAAGTAGGTTCCAAGCCTTCATTACATATGTGACTGATTGCTGGTAGTAGGCTTTCACCTTCCAAAGGCCAAAAATCTCCCCCACTCTCCATGTTGGGAAGGTGAACCCAGATGCTGCTCTCTCAACTGGGAGAAGGGTTCATGCATCGGAGACACAGATAGCTCTTGCTGCGGAGACCTTTATGACTATGCTGCAGTCTGGGCAGTATCTCCCTCTCCTTTACTTCCTCAGACAGCAGCCACCATGCTGACCGAAGATGTGGGTGTCTGTCTGGAGACAGACCTTGGACTGCGGAAAATGAGGAGGGATGCTAAGAAGTAAGTGCCAACATTTCTTTATTCCTCATTAGTTTTGTCTGTGTTAAAAGGACATGTGGAGCAGTCACCACTCCAGAATCGGGAGTCCAGAGCAGAACAGAACCTTCTGGCATTCAACTACTCAAGGTCATTTAAAAAAAAAATTAATATGGAAAGAGATGCAGTGCTTCTTTTTCAAGATTTGACGGCTTAAAAACAAAAAGCAACAAAAAACTCTAGTTCCACCTGCACCATAACAAACATTTTTCTTGTGGCCTTTTCAGTCAACTTTAGCAAAAGGCAATTTTAAAATTTCTTTGTGAAGTAAGTCATTATCCCCTTCTTTCTTTACAGTCAAAAGCTCTCCTACATAATACACATGTTCTTAATAGGCGCTTCTAGAGTGCATTTTACAGAATAGAGGAGTAGAAATTAAAGTGTTTTTCTCTCTTTCATACGTGAAGAACATTTCAACGAGAAAGCTAAGCTATTGCTGTCCAAATTTTATTAGAGTGGATTCTAATGTATGCCCGTGTTTCACTATTTTCGCAAGTATAGTTGTATGTGTTTCCACACACACAGCCCTCAAGCCCTCCTGAAGTTTTGACATAAGCCAACAATAGCCAAGATAGAGAGAACTCATGCTAACGAGAGAGAACTCATTATCCCTAACTCACCCCATTAGTGGGTACTGTATTGCAGTATGTATAGTGTGACGGGGCAAGGCCAGATGGCTATAAAAAAGTAGTGGGAAATAGATAAATTAGCTCCAGGCTAAACAAATCCCTCGTACCAGGATAAGGTAAATGGCAGTTGCTCCAGGTCAATTAAGACACCTGGGGCCAATTAATAACTTTCCAGAAGGCAGGGAGAAGGCTAGGTTGATTGGGACACCTGAAGCCAATCAGGGACTGGCTGAAACTAGTTAAAAGCCTCCCAGTTAGTCAGGTGGGTGTGTATGTCAGGAGCTGTGGGAGGAAGTTGCGCTGTTAGAGAGACTGAGTAGTACATACCATATCAGGCACAAGGAAGGAGGCCCTGAGGTAAGGGTGAAGTGGAGCTTGAGGAAGTGGGGACTGCTGGGGGGAAGTAGCCCAGGGAATTGTACATGTCATGTTTCTAAAAGGTCAGCTACCATAGCTGATACTATTAGGGTCCCTGGGCTGGAGCTCGGAGTAGAGGGTGGGCCCGGGCTCCCCACTTCTCTCCCTTCCCCCCCCGATTAATCACTGAGACTGGGAGACAACAGAGATTGTGCAAGGGAAGATAGCTTCTCCTCACCTCCCTCGCTGGCTTATGATGAAAATGGCTCAGTAGACTGTGACCCTTGTCTCTAGCGAGAGAAGGGTTACGTGGAGGGTCACAGTGAGCCTCTGAGGCTAGCGAAATCCGCCAGGAAATGCGGGACCCATGGAGATAAGGAGAGAGCTTTGTCACAATAGTAAACTACTCTCTTATCTGGCTTTGGATGATATTTGTATTTAGAGGTGTTTTTACTGGGTCAATTACCAGGAATATTTGTCAGGAAAGGTTTATAATGGAGCTGTTAAGAAGTTGAATAGGAACAATATAGACACAAAAGTGAGAGCAGCAGCAAAAAAGAAGTGGGAGGAAAGGAGTACTCAGGGCTTGTCTACACGACTGCTTAAGACACTCAGGATTGTGAAAAAACCACCCCCCTGACTAATATAAGTTAGACTGACTTAAAGCGGTGTCTACATCATTCTATGTCAGGGGGAGATGCTCTTCTACAGACACAGCTTCCGCTTCTTGTTGAAGTGGCGTATTTATGCCGACAGGAGAGAGCTCTCTCGTCGGCATAGCACGTCTTCACCAGAGGTGCTACATTGGCACAGCTGCATCGATGCATCTGCGCTGACGTACAGCACATTGTGAAGCACGTGTGAAGACAAGCCTTTAAGATTCCAATCTTCCTTCCCCCATCCCGAATTATGGGTCACATACATTTCATGAAATAATCATCAAGGTAAGGCAAGAGAACTCAGATTTCCCTCTCTCCCTTTCCAGTGGGAGTACCCTCGCTACAGGAGATCATTCTGGAAGTAGTAGCAGAGACACACACAACCCTGAATGGGCAGGGCACACCAGCAGTAGCAACAAATGGGAACATCTAAAAAAAAAATAAGCAACTGTGTACTGGCGGGTGGACAACAAGAGCTTAGCACACACACTGAGAGCTCAGAGCCTTGTGTTATCTCCCTGGGCCAACACAAAATAATAATATGCAACCCCCATTTTCTGGACCTCAAGCATCTACAATTAAAG